GCAACGGGGCCGGGCCGGCAATTAAGCCGAATCTGGTGCTCGTGGCTGCGGTAGAAAGGGGCAGGAGCATGTCACGGTCGCGTTTGTGCCCGTTTCGAGCATCGGAATTGAAGAATTTACGAGGCCTGCCGCGCCGCCGCGGTCTCGAGCATTTGCCTTTACGCCGTGCCTCCCTTCGGCCCACGTTCCCTTAACGGCGGTAGCCTCGTATCTCGCAGCCTCTCGGGTCTCTCGGTCTCCCTCTTGGTCTTGGTTCCCGTCCGAATTTCGTGGCCCCCACGTCTCTGATGCCTCTCTCGTCTCGTTCCGTCCATCCGTCCGTCCACTCGTCCGTCCGTTCGTCCGGCGTTGCCGCGCGGATTCAATGTCCATGCAAAGTAAACGGCGGCCCCGAGAACGGCTGTCAATTATCCGTTATATACGGCCCTGGCCCTCGAACCCATTCTTAACGACCCCTTAAACCTGGCCAGGAACAGTCAGCCCTCTCCCTCTGCGACGCATCTCTCTCCGCTTCGCCTCTGCCCCGTATCGCGCCCGAAAACTTTCGGGAGGCATGTGCAGGCCTTCGACAACGACGAAGACGAGGACATGAGAAGGACGAGCTCGAGGAGGTGGGGACCTGAGCGGTTTCCGGGAATCGTTTGGTATTCCAACGCTACCGCCATTCGCGGCACCTTCCTGCTTCAAACTGCGGACAGATTCCACTCCGCGCCACGGCCACGAGGAGACAGAGAGGGAGGCCCGGGATACTCGGGGATCGTTTCTATAGCCGCGCCGCGAAGTGTGTCAGAATTGCAAATGGACAGAGCGCGGCGGCCGACGAAGAACACAGGGGCCAAGGGTGGCCGACGGAAAGAGGGCGCGAATTCCACCATGTAATTCTCTAAGATGGATTCGAGCCGAGATGCTCGAGGAATTTCGTGACGTCCCCGGTTCCAGAGACCACGGGGCGGAGTGAGTGGGTTCTGCGTCGACACAGTGGGAAAAGATTTTACGAGCGAGACTCGCTTCCCTTTTGTCCCCCGCGGGGAGGAACTGTCTCTTTTTCTAACGCGTGTTTGTTTTACGACGGGAAGGACGGAACCTCTGTCAGCGAGGAATCCCGAGTTCTAGCCTCTATTCCGTAACAATGAAATTTTCTGGCTTCGGCGGCGACTTTACGATCGCGATTTAAAATTCATAGCGAAATAATACGACGAACGAGCCCTGCCGATATTCACTTCGTTTCGTCTTGGCGAGAAGTTAACGAATCTTTTAACGAGTGGTCGCGCTGCTCGCGTTACGAATCAGCGGCGAGTTTCGTTAGGCAAGTTAACAGGCATCATCCTCGGCGCTCGTAAACGCCGACGCCTCGTAATTACAACGATACGTTCCGTTCGAACGTAACGAGCGAACCGAAGGGAAAGCCACAGGCTTCCTCGTCGTCTCGCTCGCGACTACCAACACTCGCTCGTCCGTCAGCTTGTTAGGTCGACGGCGAACGATCGCAAATCAATCAAAGTTCACCCGTGGGACCGTTTTCCCCGTGCTGCGTTCGGGACGAGTTAATTGACCGTTCCGCGACGGGGCTGCGCTCTAGGTCCCATTTCGATTTGTTAACGTAACGTGAACACGCGATAGCCTATGTTCTGTTCGCACTTACCCCCGATTCCTCGGACTGCTCACGACGCGGCTGTCAAGCTCCTGGAGGATCTCGCACGACTTGGTTAGGTGTCTTGGTTGACTTTCCGGTTTGTTGAATTAACTACGATGTTACACAACGATTTCGATTTCACTGAATGTTCCCGGAATATGTAGGTAGGTTCGATGCAGAGCCTGTACTCTCCGAGGAATTAAGGAAACACGTTAAATTTTCTAAAACGTTGATGTCAATCGCGACGCGGCCCGAGGGAAAACGTTGAACATCGGCGTTCAATTATTTTTTTACAAGATATACGTACAGGTATCAAAAGGATTCCCGACCCACCTAGATGGAAATTTTCTAAAGAATTAATTACTGTTGTAATTATAAATTATGATCAGACGTCAATTGAATTACAAATTTAATTACGTCGATTAATCCTCGAACAATCGTTCTAATCATAGACTGTAATTAATTGCTAATTATTATTAAACGCTGTTCAGTCTTTCTCGGGTAATTCTTGGCGTGCAACGAACGATGTTCGTCTCGGATTTTTGCGCCAGTCATACGCATGAAGAAGGGTTGCGGTTTTTCGAACCGAGCCGTGATTGAAAGCGCCCGAAGCGTGGAATAACGCGGCGATTCGTCGAAGACGCGTCACCGCGCAGATAATGGCTTATTAACAAAGCGTTGCCGAGCCGCGCGAGAAAGTGACAGAGCGGTCTCTCGAGAGGCGAGAGAGAAAAAAAAAAGAGAGTGCGAGAGGGTGAAAGATGAAGGCGCGCTGGCAGGAAAGGGAGATGGAATCCCTGATGCCGGGAGTCCAGTCACGGGTTTCGTCGACGCCTTCGAGAGAAGGGTCTTGACACAACGGGGCTTTAATTACGCCGATATCACGGTAATTAAGCCGATCAATACGTGGCATTGTGCGGCGACCGCGGGGCCCCATCGACGCCCAAGAGCCGAGGCCCATCCATAATCATGGTCACGGACCCCCTTCGTTCGACACAAAAGCACCACTCGTCCCATGAGACACACCGGGATTCTCGCTCGCTCGCACCGAGCCTCCTCGCGTGTTAAATTCTTTTTGTGGAAAAACCGCGTGAAAAGGCGGAACAAAAATTGCGCGATCCTCCGCGTCTGATACGATTCGTTTAATTAAAACGTGTACAATGTGCACGCTCTTGTTGAATTGAATTGGTCAAGTTCAGTCGTGTGGCAACTCTTCCTCTTACATTGGCTGATAAGTTTATTTGTGTAGCTAATTTGTATCTTAAGTGACAAATATACATTCAGTATTCCCGTCGCTGCTTCACTTGCATTATTTATCGTATGTAGAATTGAAAATGTATAGAATAGAAATATTTGATGAATAAAAACCAAGTCAAGTCATGAAACTTGAAAGACATTGAGGATTTTATAAACTTACATTTTGCACCTTTTCATTCCCTTAATAGTTAATTGAAGTAAAATTGTGAAATTGATATTTTCTTTTTACATAATAGTATGATAATTCATGAAACAATAATACCTTTATTTTCACAATCATGTAATAATTACATATATTATTCTACTCCTTTCCTTTTTATACTTACTATCTGTATTAAGTACAGAAATATGTTAAACGTAAAAAAGTTAGAAATCAATTAAATCATATTTAGGTCAGCACTTTCTCAAAAATGCGATAGTATCATGTAATAATTACATATATTATTCTACTCCTTTCCTCTTTATACTTACTATCTGTATTAAGTACAGAAATATGTTAAACGTAAAAAGTTAGAAATCAATTAAGTCATATTTAGGTCAACACTTTCTCAAAAATGCGATACACACGAAATTGCGCTCCAATTTACTCCAATAATTCTTCTCAACAACAATTGACTCTCAGTAATCATAGAGAATTATCCTGAATAACTGGAGGGCAAAAGCAGACTGTGACAAATACCTAAGCTGCTTTCAATCTCCGGTTCCTGAAAAGAGTGCAGCGCGGTGGTATATTTCTTTTAGCGCAGGGAAATCGTGTATGAAATTCGTAGCTGGAGGCGACCACGCCATAGTCTCGTGCCACGCGCTCGTTGATCGGAGTAATCGCGGCTTGCGCAAGCATCGATACCAGAAAATCGCTGAAATCGTTCCTCCCTAAAGCTTGGGAGGTTCGCTTGTACAGCCTGCAGAACGATCGTTGCATTTTAATCGAATGTTACGGATTTCGTCCGCACGAAATTTCTCAGTAACACACGAAAGCTCATCCCGCTTAAAAAATCATCGTGAGTTATAAATATTATCTGCATAAACAATTCGAATCTCTTAAATTCAGTAATACAGTCATAATCACGTGGATCAATTATTATAATTAATGTTTACAAAGCAGGAATTATTTATTAATTTTGTACTTATTTTTCATTATTCATATTGAATTATAGTGAGTCTTAAATGAAACGTGAAAAGTTTTAAAAAGTGATTTTGGTGTGTAAAGAATAAATGAATAAAAAATTAAAAATAATAAACTGAAAAATATTTCTAAAGGTTGTTATAATTGAGCTTCCATTCTCACCTTCCAACTGGATATTTAAAAGATAAGGAGCCATCCGTTAACCCGGATGGAGAGGATGAACCGTCAGTTACAGTTAACTTATGCCCGGGCCATTATCACCGAAGAAATCGATGAAAGGGACTTGCATTATATCTGCCGGTGATTACGATCCATCGATAGGCCCTCTGAAACGAGGATGAAACGAGGAGGTGGAATATTTCAGAAGCTGCACCGTCACCGTCTCTTTGTGCGCTGCCCCAATTACAAGGAACCCTTCCAAGGCCGCGTTTCGAAGCCGGAGTTATTCGGTCGACGATGGACGACCGCAGACGCAGACGCTTTGTCACTGTTTATCGAGGTTTATCCGCAGCATAAAACTCCCCGACGATGAGACACTGAAAAAGAGAGGACAGGATTTGTTTGCGACCGCCCGCGCCGTTTTCACTGTTTGTCGTAGCAGTTAGGACAGCCGGGGTGTTCCCCACAAAGTGCCGCTCGCCATCCGCTTCGGGGAACGAACGGACCGACCTGGCGAACGGTACACTTTTTAGACGCTATTTGCACCGAAACACGAGCGGAAAAGGATCATCAGTCTGCTCACCGCGATTTCTGTCCTCAGTTGGACAGATTATCCACCGAAAATTGTTTTCAAACTGTTTCCGTTTTTGATGATCATTACTTCACTGCTAGAGTCATGCAAGTTCATGATCGGAATTTTTATTTTATAAAATGTGCATTAAAGTACAAGTATATACAGATTTTTGGAACATCTTCATAATAATTGATTAGATGAACGTTTTATTGAGAATATCATGGTTTTCAAGCATTATATTCGTGTTTCAGGTGACTGTCGTGAGCACGAGCACCCCGAGTACGAATACGGTCCATCCCGGTGTGAACGACATGGACTGGTTCGCCGGCGTCGCTGAGGAAGAGCTGTTGTACTACACGGGCGTCGGGAACGACGTCGACTCCCTTTGGGCTGTGATCGGGAGTTTCGTACCGCCACCACCTAGACCGCCTTATTTACCAGAGGAGGGTGTCACCCCCGACGGACTTACCACCTGCGATTTATGTTCCTGGGCGTGGAGAAACGACAGGCATTCGTTCTCTCTCGACGGCACCCTCGGTAAGTCTTCTCAATTTTTTTAACTGCGTTAGGTATCGATTAGTAAAATGCTGTCGATTTATTTGTAAATGTTTAAAAAGAGTATAGTATAAAAATTATGGAATCGTTATAATAGCTACAATTACATCANGTGTATAGCCTTATTACCTATCCTTAATACTAACACATCGATCCAACAGAAGACTGAAATGAAATACTACAAGCTTGACAGACGTATGAATACACTATAATTAAAGAAACATAATTTAAATAGTGAAACTGAATTAGGTGCTTTCTTTTGAATATTTTCTTTTGACGACGCATTTCCAAGTCTCTATCCACACCATGCGTCCTTCTTGTCAGCACTTCAGGTTCCCTGAAGAAGGGTTAGCGATGGTAGCAACATTAGGTACTGCGTTACTCCCTCAGCACACACTCGATCGTATTTGTGGCGTGTTTGCCGGGCCAACAGCTTTTCCAAACCGGGGCTGCACTTCAGGGTCGAAGTTTCGTGAAGTATCATTCAGGCTCGGGCATGTTCCCAACGTATTACTCTCGTGCTCGAAAAGTTTCCGTGCGGTCCGGTTCGGCTCGCACATTTTTGCAACCGTTTACCGCACGATGCGGTGCAACCATGTACATACAACGACTGAGAAAATGACGGCTATTATCGGCTGTGCCGTGTTCCCCATCGCGTAGGTACGCTGCTCACATTGTTCCTTCTCGTTTTTTTTTACGCGAGGATAAGCGATTCCATTAAAGCGAGACCATCGAAGTCGATGGTTATAGGCAGCTGCGAGTATGGTCGCGCGGCACGTTGCAAACGGAGCAGTTATTAGGAGCGAAACGAGGTGAGCCAGTCCATTAGGATTTAATGTCGGCTAATAGAACGTTGGGGTACGCATACGTCTCCAAAGTAAATATTAACTAACAAAGTGTTGACCATTCAGTCATCCGGTGAAAAATGTGATCGATTCGTCTTTTACGTTTTTTGAAGAAAAAATTATACACGTTATATATCAGATCAAGTGACAGAAAATTGTTGTATAAGAAAATTGCATACTACAAAATGTTCTCAAGGAATTTTTTTTAATTTCATACTCGTAAGCTTCATAAAGCAGTATGTAAAAGACTAAACATGGAATTAAGAAAGAGAGTAATTTGCTCGTGAACACGGTTTTAAGCCGGTAATCAGCGTGCTGAAAATTTGAACTGAACGCGGCGTGGAACGTGAACGTCGCGTGCACCGTTCAGACCGTTGACGATGTCATAATCGATGGAACGTAAGCGGTCGAGACAAGCGAGAAGGAAACGAGCACACGCAAGGTGTACAGTGGACGTCGTTTCAGCGTGCGGGGGTACCCCGGGGGTGAAAGGTCGACGGTTGGGTTCACCATGGGAGGCCCGAGCCGCGAGTCGTTCGTGCCCGTGTAAAACTTCTCTCGCACGCTCCCTCGCTCCTCCCCCTCGGCCGGTCTGTCCCTCATTCGACTCGCGCTAATTCTCGTGACGGACAAATTAAGACGGATAATTCAAGAGAGCTCGCCCTCGCTTCGGCCCGACCTCCACATCCGGTTGTGCTGTTTCGACCAATCCGAGGCTACAGCCGCTCCTATGAGCTCTCCCCTTCGGCGGTTACGTTTACGATCACGGCTCCTCTTTCTCGTTTTCGTCCTTTGACGGAATTATTGTGCCGGTAATTGCGAACCGTGGATCGAAACATCGTGAGACAACGAGAATTCGCCCATTATAAGTAAAACAAGCAGGATTAATAGTTCACTTGCAAATGACAAAACGACGTTTGTTTAAGATTGCCTGAGTCAAAGTTTAAGAAACGTGATAACAAGCTACGTTCAATATTTTGAAATGATAATTTTTTTTTAGTAGTGAGTATTTAACAAGTTAAGTATGGTTAATTAGTATTTTATGGGTACTGACAAAATCCGGTCGTTCCTTCGTCGAAACAGCAAACTTTTGGCAAAAAATTTCGTTTTTCCTCAAATACTTTTAAACCGTTGGACCTACAAGGAAATTGTATAGGACCTTTTTTGTATCTGACAACTACAGCAATGTACAAAAGTACTGATACATTAGCCTACAAGTCGTGCTACAATTAATTACAGTGTATTATATTAATTAAAATTCTTTCAAACGCATAAAATAAATCATGCGAAAACAAAGGGCGAAAATACGAAACTCGAGTTGGCCAGTCGAGCAATAAAACCTCCGCCATTTTAACTTTATTGCACCATAAATTATAAGCGTGTACGGTTGCTGAATAAAATCTGGTATCCGCTCTGGCCAAGAACTTTGAATTAATTAAAATTGGATATAAAAGAATGCATAAACAAAAGGTTATTTTGGATCTGGAAATCGAAACAGAACTGATTGAAAAGGGGACGTGCCGTGGCGAGGAATCGGTTGGGTGAACACGTCCAATCAGAAAGCCGGCTCTCCCTTAAAGAACCAGGGTTCACACGTAAGCGTGGTACCAAAAGGCATACGTACAGGTAAGTATCCACATGCATATAAATAAGTGGCAGGGTGCCCCACCTCCGGTTCGAGGTGGCGAGGTTCGGCGCAGCCGCCCTCCTCCTTGTTTCAGGCCCTGCGGGCCCCATCGTCCCAGGCACGCATTATCGCCATTACCATGAATTCCAGCAGTTATTACGCCTCTGTTGCACCGCCACGAAAATGGCGGCCCCGGTGCATCCTACCGTGCAACAAGGACAAAACTCCCTCGATACCGTCCATACCATCCGCTTACCTCTTTCCGTTTCGACCCGCGCTCTCGCCGTGTCCTTCTGCCGCCTCGACAATTACGTAGCGTGAAGAATGGCGCGGCTTTATTTCGTCACCTGCCCCGCACTTTTATTCCCTCTTCTCTCGAATTTCACGGTTTGGCATTCGATCGTGCCAGAACGATTGCCTTCTCATATAGTGTCGATCACCAATTTAATTCGCACGTCGTTAAAAATTCGTTTTGCATTACGTCGCGGTGGTAAAACCTACAGTAAATCTGCTGAACCACTCCACGGACTTTCGTCTCGATTCGACACGATTATCCCGTGAAAAAGCAAAAATGGATAGGGACAATGGTAGGGAGATCGCGAGATGGGGGGCTATTTGAAGCATCCTCGCGATGGGGGGGCAATCATCGCGTCACTTCGCATCTTTCGCGACGTAATAATTACGAGATCGCGCCTCCGACACAGTAGGAACGCGGGCCGACCGCCGCCGCCGCCGCCGCCGACGTCGAGGCGCGAAAGAAAAGATGGAAAGCCGGCCGTGCGCTCACGGTCTACCTTAGGCATCTACACGAGTGAAACGCGAGGGACAAGGAAGAGAACTTAATTCGAGCTCTCGAGACCGGCTCCTGTGAGGACGCACGATTCCGCGTGATTCTCTTCGAGATCCTCGTTGCGAGACTTCCATCATCCGCAATCGGCTGCCACTTGACAGACTGCGAACAAAGTTGTCCTCTTGTACAGAGCTGAAGTACCGTTTAATATCTTGTGTAAAATGCAATACAGAAGAAGAATTGAACGAGTCTTTGCAATCAGTACAAAACGTCTATAGAACAGATTTTATTAATCTTGAAATAGAATTTATTCATATTAAAGTTATCGAATTTTCGTACACTAATTTCAGTACAATTTTGATACCAATACTGTAGTTTGGTGCCAGCTTAAATAATAATTATAGTTTTAACAATGTGACGAAATAAATTTAGAAAGATAAATTGAAAGATAAATTTATTTTATTCGATAGTGAGGCATGTAAATAGTTGGAGCATGAAATTTTTTAACATTCTAAGCGCGTCTAAGATATTTCTCTTAAATTATTAAGGATTCAAAGCCTATAGATAGGGCATAGCTCGTCAAGGTAATCGCACGCCGCAGTGAAACGACTGCCAATTAGAAGCCGAGACCGAGCGTTGATTGTAATAGCCTTACATTGCAGGCTTTCTGTGGCGTGCAGGACCGCGGAGACGACTCCATCGAGTGTCGGTTATCGACACGAGGATGCGAAGCTCGACGCGGCAAACGTTCGACACGGATGGTTTAATCGACCGCTCGTTAGGATATCCCTCGCGTTTCGCGAAAACACGCCTGTTTCCGTCGTGATCCTCGCCTGAGTCATCCTTTTAATTCGAGTTAACGCGCTCCCCCGGTTACGTATATTCGTATTGGGCCGATGTTATCTCTCGTTGCGTATACATCGTCCGGACCCGGGCTACGTAACGAGGTCTCTTCTTTTTTCTCGTTTCCATCAGCAGCAACCCTTTCCTGACCGGGAGCGTTATTCTCGCTCCGTTGTTCACCGCTCTTTCTTGGAACACCTCTGGTAATCGAGAATTGCGTGCTCTGAGGACGTCCAAAAGTATTTGCTTTATTTCTTTCAAGAAAATTGAAATGGTTTCAAAGTTTTATTGTAGTAAGATAGATGTCCCAGTTTCTGTTCACCTCGCAATTTCTACTCACTGGCGTATTTTTCAATAATTCTTAATTTTTTTCTTTAATATTGAAATTATAGAATAAATAAGCTGAGTAGAAATTAAATAAGGCACTCAACTTATAACTTTTACACATTTTGTATGATGCGTTTTCATATAAGTCTTATAATTAGAGGTAAATTAATAGTTTCTGTATGCATGTCATTGCCTGTATTTAATTTATTATCAATTTATACAATTTCAAAAGAATCATTTTAATTCTCTGTAAAAATAACTGAACTAAACTTCACTGCGAGATAGAAATAAATTGTACAAGTGTAACAAGGTCCCCGGCCGAAACTTCGCCTTTACACGAGCAAACGGTATCGATAAATCTTTTGGAAAAGTGGCTCCCATTTAATTGAGGTCCGCATCTAATCGATGGGTCCATTGGTCATCGCGTTCGTTTTCTCCCCCTCGCCACGATGTCGCATGCTCGCGGCCGAAAAGGAGAAAAGTAATGGGGTGAAACAGGATGGTTCGCGCCTGTAAAGTGCGAGGCGCCGAACGGGGAAGATGCAAACGA